AACAACAAAAATCAATGCAGCATCTTAGAATGTGAGAATATGGCAACATGGGGCACACATTTATCTCCATCTTTATAGGTGCTGGTGCACTGAGAAGAACCTTTGAAAATTTCCTTGAACAGAATCTATAAAAAGCCCCATCCCAGAGTGGCCATTAAGAATGTAGTTCTCTAGTATTTCTAGCTTTCCTTCTTCTGGGGCATGGCAAGGTGGCACCTGCCTCTGCCTCTTTCAGGCAGATGTGCTGAGTTATTTGTGTTGGAGCCAGCTTATTTCTTAACAGTTAGTATGCAATTTTCCATATTTCTTCCCTGTGCCATGATGCCCAACAAGGCTGCAGATGGCCCATGTCCTCAGAGTGTGTCAGAGCAGCAAAGTCTCGGCTAATCTGTGGCAGACATTTTCCAGGAAAGAGTAACATATTTTTTAATCTTACCACATTGATTTGGGGCTTTAGGTTCTCAGGTCTACTATGTCATGGCTGATGCATCAATTCTGTGCAACTAAGAGTCCTGTGTTCCTCTGTTGAAGGAATTACATTGGGTTCTTCATTGCAGTTTGGCTAAAAGGTAATTCGAGGGAGACTATTGACTGGACACATTGTTTCCCTCAATGTCCTACAAGCAGGCTTGGTGTTTAGCTAAGAGACAGATATTCGAGGGAGACTATGTAGGTGGGTTTTGACTGGACACATTGTTTCCCTCAATGTCCTACAAGCAGGCTTGGTGTTTAGCTAAGAGACAGAGCACTGGCCTAGCATGTACAAGGCCCTGGGCTTGATCCCCAGCACCAAAAGCAGCACACAAACCAAAGAGGATTAAAAATGGAATATCAAAACAAGAATCATAATTGCACTTGATAGATGTGATGGATGCATAGAGATTTAACTTTTCAAAGAGTTTCTGCATCTATCATACTTCTAACCCAGAATAATGACAAAAACAACATGTAACAGATTCCACTTTCCAAAGATGGCCTCGATGATGTCTGCCATCCCATACATGCTTCTGGAGTGTGGTCTTGCCACTTCCCCATCAAGAAGTGGAGTTGGTTTCTCCACTGTTGAGTTTGCATGGGCTAGGGCTACTTTGACTAAAAGAACATGCCCAGAAGTCCTCTAGCTCCAACTGTGGAAAAAGCCCATCTTTGGTGGCCAGCTTCTGTTTCCTGTCTGCCACAGGGCGCGGGCAGCCTCCACACAAGAAGCCTGACTGCTTTGAGACCTCATGTTGAGAGGAGGCCAAGTGTCGTGTTTAGGCTGTGGGGTGTGATGCCATCATGGAAGTGGATCCTTCAACCCCAGGGCCCCAGCTAATGCCACATGAGAACAGAGGGAGCAGCTCTCCGAGTCCTTCCCAAGTTACTGATCCGCATAAACACAAGCAAAAATATAGTTGTTTTAGCCAGTATGCTTTATGGTAGTGTTATACAGCAATAGACAAAATATTAAACAACTTTAACACTTTCTCATTTTAAAGATAGGGAAATTGATGCTTACAGGTAGTAAATCATTTTCTTGGGACCCTAGTGCTGCTTGGAAAACTAGGAAGGACTAGAACACAGATGTGATTAGCACTGTAACAGGGTTCTCACACCACAGATCATATCCTGACACATAGGGTGCCTGGGATATATCCTACAGAAAATCCACACAAGAGGGAAATAAAGCCAAGAGAGGTTGAGGTCCTTGGTTAAGGTCACATAGCAGATTTGGGCCACTGACCAGACAAGAATCATACCTTCTAACTCCAGTCCAGTTCTCTGTGCTGCAGACTTCTGACTCCTCCAATATGTAAAACAGGAAGAGACAAGCTGCTTGAACAATGAAAGTGTGTTTTTGTTGCTTTTGTTTCTTGGTGATAGTCTATAAAAGAAAACCGTAATTCTCAGGAGGATATTAAATGAAAAGCTATAAAAATGTCTCACAGCCACAGGCTGAAGATTTGAAGGGAAATGTGCTGAAGAATATACCATATTATTAGAGTAAAGGGAACCAGGGGCAGGAGAAGGCTTAGGGTCTGTTTCTATTTCAGAAGCCCCCTATCCACAGAAAGTCCTGGTTTAGACCCATCACGGGCCATTTGCTTTCTTCAAATAGAAACCAAAACAGGACTGTCTTTGTGGGCATGCTTAATTTATCATATACAGACATTTTCCCAAGTTAAAGATGACTCAGGTCTTTTAGGGAGCTGCGGTGGATGGAACTGCAGGGCATGGCATGTTCACTCTTTCTTGCTATGCTACTTCTCTCTGCTGGCTCCTGTACTCTCCACTTTTGCCCCTAAAGTTACACTCAGTCTCTTACCACTGGGTTCCCTCCACCTGGCAGAGAGCGTTTGGAGCATGATTCTATTAGGATGATCCTAATTCACAAAGTTCTGTGGTGTTCACTTGATGTATATAGGAACCTTGCACATTCTCATTCTACCATATGGTGGCAGTGCATCCACCCAACTTTGTCTTCTCTGTCCTGAAATGATGAGCATCTTCTGCTAGGTTCTGCTTTCATGATTTTCCAGACAGAGATCAAGCATGAGTCAAACTCTCAGAAGATGAGGAAGGTGTCTGAAGAATTCTTACCATGTGGGTTAGCTCTTGCCACAGTAACAATGTCTGACAAACTACCCCCCAAATTCAGACATATGTAGCAGTAGACATTGTTCCTCACCCTCATGGCTGAAATTCAATACATGCGTGCTGGTCTTGCTGGGCATCTTGGCTGAAAGTGGTGGTGGTTCTAGGTGGTCTGAGATCAGGACAGTTAGGCTTGGATTTGCTGCATGTGTGCTCCTTCTGGGCCAAAGACAAAGGAGAATCAGCTGCCAGGGGGAAAGCAACATTCAGGAGGTGACAGAAATACAAGGACACAAACCACATACTGTATGCACACCTTACCTCTGAGTGCACCTTATCTGCTTATGGCTCATTGGGTACAGCAACTCTCAAGACCAAGTCCAA